CTGGCTCCTCAGCAGGAAGCTGAGAAAGAGAAGCAGCCAGCCTTAGCCATGGGCATGTGGGGGAAGTGACCAAGGCACCCACAGCACCCTCGTGAGGCGACACATGCAGCGAATGTATGCCTCCCCGCTGCTACGATGCTGTGTGTGCACTGGTGCCTCTGTGCCCACGTTTGAAGAACAAGCCAGTTACATGTTGCGATGTTGCAAACAGATTCTGACAAACATACACAAAAAGCAACCGCATATCTGAGTGTTTTCCTTTCAGTCTTCATTCACAGAAAACCTGGGACCTGTCCGATCAAACATCTTGTAAAACAGCCCGACACCTGAAACAGATTCATCTGAGAGTCTGGAAGCTGACGTAAGCATTTGCCAGATTTGGAAGAGAGCCTCGTTCATAATTAAATGAAAGCTATGAAGTTTTGAATTCTACACCAAAAAATGGAAATACAAATAATTTGCCCAAATGATCTATTTTTCTAGTGACATGGTAATGGCAACCACGTGTTGGCCTGAAGTCACCTGTCCAGCTTCCCACAGGACACCAGAGCAAGGCACAAGAGACAGCTCCGGGAGTTTATCTCAAGTACGCAGCTCTCGTGGGCTAGGTTTGCGTGCTGGTCTTTTCAGAATGGCTCGATTTATTTACACAAGGCAGTTGTGGACAGAGCCAAGATTGTGTGTTTTTGTTAGCATTTCCAGTTGAAAAGAAAAAAATTCTATTCACTGGACTCAGACCCCCACACCAAACTGGATCACTGTCATGGAAGCAGTGTTAGCAACTACTGTGAGTTCACTGGAAAGCCCAGCAACCTCCTTAGCAATACAAGTTTCTGCCTTAAGGAAATGTCTTGCAGAGAATGGAATAATCACCTACCCGTAAAGCAGGGATCGCTTGTGACTGACATTTACTCTATGCTCTAACTTTTATCTTATTTTTTAAAGTAGGAACAGGGAGAAGTTGAGCCAATTTACTTCTAAAGCAACATTCCAGGGCCAGGTGGCTAAGGAGTGTGGAGGGAGGACAGTGTTGCAATGACAATAACAAAGTAGGGGGAAACGTTTGTAGACATTAGTTAAAAAGTGGCGGTTTTAATGATCGCCTTAATAAGACTAAATTGTTCCCAATATTCAGTCACTCCTCAAACGACATGCCTGAGAAATTCATGAGTAGCCTTGGGCAGTTGCAACTTGCTGAGGGCAAGCCATAAAGTAACACTGCTACAGAAAAACCTGGGACCTTCACTTATGCAGCACACCCCCAACTGTGCTACTAGTTAGTTAATAACTCTTCCCTGAATTAGGTGCCTGCAGCGTTCGAACTGTTCCCCAGTAAGCACACCGTTGTACCGGGTGCAGCTGGAGACTGAAAATAATACATCCTAGGCTTCACCAGAGAACCGCAGTTCCCTAATCACCGTCGACCGCGGCAAGCTCAGCGTGGACAAGGAGCACCTGCACAAAATCAGAGCGCGCCTGCCTCTCGCTCTTTGCGCCCAGCCCACCAGCCCAGGCCAACAACTGCTTTTTACTTCTAGGGGGGAAATATTTAATTGGAAAAGCGCAAGATGCACCATACACCACCCGGAAAGCTGTGTCTCAGGAGTTCGGGGTGGGTTTGAGCCCAGGTTACAAGTAGACAACGCCGAAAAGCCGCTGGCTGGCCCAGACGTCGGCCCTTGAGCCAAGGCTGGTGACCGCTCTGGGACCCTCCCCGCGCCCGGCACTTCACTCACCGCTCACGCTCGCCCGCGCGGTCGAGCCCGGGAGCCGGGGCCCCTGCGGTTGCCGCATGCCCACGGGACCGAGCGCGACCGGGCAACCGGGCTCCGGACTCCGGGCTCCGGCCGTCGGGAGCAGCAGAAGAGGACGCTGCGGGCGAGCGGACCAGCAGCGCTGCGCCCTCCCCCCCCTCTCGGCCTGCCGCTGCTACGCTGCCGGAGCCGGAGGAAAGTTTGGGGAGCAAGGGAGGGGCGGAGAGGGCCGCGTTCCCGCCCCGCCCCGTCCCGCCCGGCGCATCCGGCCGTTCCCACCGGAGAGCGCCCCCCACTGGAGAGGCCGCGATCTGCACGCAGTGCGCCCTTGCGAGCCCAGACAGGACAGCTTTTCTGCAGACATGTTCCTGCCTGGTACTCGGCTCCAGAGGTGGCATCCACTAAAGGACTGCTAGCACCCAGTCCTTACAGAGCCATACCTCAGAGCTCCTGTAAATGCAGTCCCTCTGTCCCTGTCTCACCAGCTGGGAGGAGAGATTTGCTTGAAGGGGCAGAGGGGTAGTGTAACCTGTGTCTACCAACACCACCAGGCTCAGACCTGACGTTCTAAAACTTGAATCCTAAACCTACCCAAGGCTGCAGGCAACCCTGGAGGCCACGGATGTTCAAGTACATCTGGCCCGAGGCCTATCCTAGGCGCCTTTCCATTGCAACCAGAAACAGTGTATTTAAGATTCCTGAAAGAGGCTTCTTACCTTCCTGAACTAAATGTTCCTGGATACTTTGTTTTCCAAAGATAAAGTATAAAGCCCCATTGGCCCACCTTGGGTAAAGTAAAAGTCCAGGGCTGGGTGGACAGGTGGCATGGTGGTTAAAGGCGCTAGATTCCCACATGGCTGAGTGCTGTTCAAGTCCTGGACTTGGCAGCTTGCTTTCTAGCTTTCCCTTTCTCTCCCTCTGTCTCTGTCTGGTCAAAAAAAAAATAATAATAATAACAAATGGAATTAAATAAATAAATATTGTTTTTAGCAACAAAAAAATGTTTTATTGAGTTGAAGTCAGAAGCAAATATTAAGTCCTCAAAATGTTAAGTAAAACAGTATACAACATCAGTATTGAAGTGTTAAATTTTACATCATCTTTTATATTGGTAATTTTTTATTGAATACTGAAGGCTTTATTTTGACTGTTTTTACTATCTGAATTTTTAAAGTCTTTCTTTGAACTATTTTGCAATTGGTTCTTTTTTAAAATTGTATTTATTATCATAATCTTGTTTATATTACATTGAATCACATATATCTTTACAGTGTATTACATTTCTTTTTCCAGAAGGAATACCATGCAGATCAGTCAAGACAAGATATTACAATCCACAGCATCATCATCAAATAGCTTTTCATCATTTTTTCTCCAGATTATTATTATTATTCTCATAATTTTTTTAAACATTCAATCACTGTATGTCATTTTGCTTGTAAAAAAATTTACTCAACATGAACTACTTCTCAGGCCATTCCAGTTGAGAATACTATACACGTCATCAACAGGTAATAAACCATTTCTGTGTCCCACTAATGTCATGCCTCTCTATTTGTTTTCTTGCTATCCTTCTCTATACTCTTCCCTTCTCCTGCCCTATTCCACACTGTCTTTAGCATCTATAACTATTTTCACTGCTTTTATGCCCTTCAATAGTTTCGTCTCTACCATAAAGTGCAGATAGTATATATTAAGTAGAGACATACAATATCTTTCTTTCATAGCCTGACTTGCTTCACTCAGAAATAGATCCTCCATATTCATCCACCTTCTATTCAAATGCCAGGGTCTTATTTTTTATGGCTGAGCAGTATTCCATAGTGTATATGTGCCACACTTTTTCCATCCATTCATCTGTTTATGGACATTTGGGTTGGTTCCATGTCTTAGTGATCGTGAATAATTCTGCAATAAACATTGATGTGCAAGCGTTTTTCCAAATAAGCATTCTCCTGTCCTTTGGGTAGGTACTCAGAAGTGGGGTTGCTGGATCAAATGGTAGTTCTATCTGTAGATCTTTGAGGAACCTCCATATTGTTCTCCACAGTGGCTGAACCAGTTTACATTCCCACCAACAGTGTAGGAGAGTTCCCTTTTCACCACATCCCTGCCAACACTTATCACTTTTTATATTTTTAATCTTTAGTCACCATTCTGAAAAGGGTTAGGTGGTATCTCATTGTGATTTTAATCTGCATCTCCCTTTGATGAGGGATGTTGAGCATTTCCTCATATGCTTTTTGGCTATTTGTATGTTTTTCTTAGAGAGATTTTTGTTCAGCTCATTTTCCCATCTTTTAATTGGGTTAAACTTTTTTCTTTCTTTCTTTTCTTCTTCTTTCTTCTCCTTTCTTCTTTTTCTTCTTTCTTCTTTTTGTAAGCCGCTTGCATTCTGTGTATTCTCGTTATCCATCTCGTTATCAGTCCCTTGTCTGAGGTTTATTTTACAAAAATATTCTCCCATTCTGAGGGTTGTCTATTCACACTAATTACTGTGTCCTTTGCTGTGCAGAAACTTCTTAGTCTGATATAGTCCCACTTCTCTATTTTAGGGATTGTTGCTGTGCTTTGGGAGTCTTATTTAAGATGTCTTTGCCTACCCCAATGTCTCCCAGAGTTCCCCCAGTATTTTCCACCAGTAATTTTATAGTTTGAGGTCTTAGGTTCATATCTTTGATCCATTTTGAGTTGATTTTTTGTTAATGGTGAAAGATGGGGATTCAGTTTCATCTTTCTGCAGATGGATACCCAGTTTTCCCAGCACCATTTACTAAAGAGGTTTTCCTTTTCCCAATGGATTGACCTGTATCCTTTGTCAAAAATCAGTTGGCTGTAAGCTTTGAGGTTTATTTCTAGGGTCTCTATTCTATTCTATTGGTCCTCCCTTCTGTTTTTGTGCCAATATCATGCTGTTTTGATTATCACAACTTTATAGTATATCTTGGGGTCAGGGAGTGAGATGCCACCCACTCCAGTCTTCTTGTGCAGGATTGCTTTGGCAATATGAGGCCTTTTATGATTCCAGACAAATTCTAAATAAATTCTTTTTTTAAATAAAGTTGAGAGCCAAGCCAAGGTAGTGTACTCTGTTGACCCTGAAGCCACATGGGAGGTTGGTTTGAATCCAGGACCACCCTAAAAGTCAGTTTGGTGTCACAGGCTTGTAGTCTCAGCTGCTCAGGAGGCAGAGGTAGGAGAATCATGACAGAGCCAGGCCCCACCCCTTTCTCTCTCTCTTTCTCTGGTGAGCACATGTACAATTTTTTTTAAAAAAGTTATGTCTTTTACACAATGGATCTCTTCTTGTAGGCCATGACAACCTAATATACCTCAAGCCTTCCCTGAGATACAGCTAAATTTTGATCAGTGTGTACATTCATCTGAATGTTCAAAAAAAAAAAAAAACCTATTGTGGTATCTTATAAATGAACTGTATATAGAAAGGGACAATCTTCAAAGCTAGTGCTAATGGAAGATCTTCTGTTTACCCGAGCACTTGCAAACCTTGCATGTTATATATGAGAGCCAAGTCAGGGAGGTAAACAGCTCAACTCAAACACCCGGTACTGGAGGGCGACCTGGTGAACACAGAAATTCCCAACCACCAGCACTTGGTGAATGCTTGACTCAACAGATGTGTAGAGCGTTGAGTAAGTGGGTTGTTGTAGATGGGACATTTAGAGCCTCCTTTTGCTGGGAGAAAATCTGTTCTGAGTTCCAACTTACTAGCACAGGCACTTCGGAAACGCGATGTTGTAACTTGGAAACTTTCTGAATTTGAGTGTCGCAAAGCAGAGCACGGATTCTTCAGAGCCACCTGAAACACAGAAATCCTTAAAGGGGGCAAGGGAGTTTGGGCAGCTGTGGTGCAGAGGGGAAAAAGACATTCTAGCTTGATGATTTTTAACAAACGCAGGTCCAATGAGGGGGAAGACGAGAACGTAACATACGAAAAGAGGGAGAGGAGAAGGAGCAACCAGCAAGACCTCTGAGCAGAAGCAGAAAATAAAGAAGGCCAAAGACCCCTAAAATGAACGGTGCAACCCGCAAATCCTATTTTTTTTAAATGAAACAAAGGAATTTTCCACCAGAACCTTCTGTAAATCTTTGCTGGATCTGCGGTGTCTCCGTTTTCTACTAAAATGTTTCTAGTAGCAAATTAAAAATCAGACGAACATCAAAAATGGCAAGTGTGATGCCTCAGAGTGTATTTTTGCCTTCGAGATCACTGGTTGGAAAGTTACTCCGAACTTTGCTAACAAACATTTGCAGATCTGCTTCCTGTGTACAAAGCATTATGTTTTTGTGTTCCTGGAGACACAAAGATTTCTAACACTGTTTCTATTTGCCTAAAAGGGGGCATTTCACAGTGCTTGATAGAAAGGAACTGTGATGGTTGAAGGAACGCTTGTGACCTTGGAGAACAGGTATCAATCAGTATCGACCCAGCAGGGCATACATGCTGTAAGGTAAATGACTAAAATACAAAACTGCCTGCCTCTTGCTACTGCACAAAGTAACATGGAACTCAGGCAGGACTTCTGAGACGCAGGCTCCTCTGTTCTCAATTCAGCTTGGACCTTTCCTCTTACAAGCAGGAATCTGGATTTGCTTTCCTTCGCTTTGGAAGTATCTGAACTGTATCTCTGAAATGTCACCCATCTGTCCTAATCAGTTAGAATACTTTCAGCAGGTGGATAGTGCGCCAAAGTGGAATGGGAGCTGTAGAGTGAGGGATGGGCGTGATGCTGGAGCTAACATTAGGTGGAAGATACTGAGGAAACAGAGCAGATGCCTCCACAGAAGCAGAAGGAAGAGAGAGAGTGCAGGCAAGGTAGACAGTCTCGTGCCATTTCTCTGGGCTGCATGTCACTTCAAGTGGAAGTCATGGAAATATGATGGGGTCTTCAAAAGTTCATGGGAAGTGACTACGATGAAAACACTACCCATGGATTTAAACATAAACTGTACGCATTTGTTATAATGTATCTGAACAGGATCTAGTTTAAGACCTCAAGAAGGATAAGGCATTCATTTGAAAAGAGCCTCTATCAGAGCAACATGAATTCTGCTAAAATTGAAGGGAGAACAAATGTCAAAGTTAGGGTGAAGTGTGGGTGGCAGAAGGGTGAACTCAT